ATATTTCCCGATGTTTGTTGTTAATGTATGTTAGGAGGTGAATATTCATACTATATAAATCTTTTCAAACATATTAAATAATAAGTTGAATGCAGATTTGAAGGAAAAACTTGTAAATATATATACAGCCTGGAAAATGTGCTTACATATATAGCACCAGCGGTGGATATAGTAGTAGCAGCGTCCGTCTGTACGTCCGTCCGTCCGCCCGCACGTGTGTTCGTACGACGAAGCACTATTGCAGATTCGACCATTTCTTTCATGATGACATTGGCGTATGATCTGATCAACACTTATAATAACCATATATGGTCATGTGACTTCGTTAATTAATGCATAAATATCGCATCTGGAGCACTATTGCAGATAGAGATATTCTACCAGTGTTTTATAGAAATCATTGGTCTCATCTGATCAACATATTTAATATCTATATAAGGTCGAATAACATATTTCAAATGTGCATAACATTTATAGCTTGGGCACTGGTGCCAACACAGGCGTGCTTTTAATACAATTACCGGGGAATATGGCTTTCTTGTTTAATCTTATTGAACACTGAAAAAAAGTGAATATGTCGTGTAAATAATTTCAATTTTGAAATAAAACAAAGTTGTGATGCATCACAATATATGTAGCATGTTTCGCTAATTAACCTATTTTCTACTGGACAGACGTACAACCAATGAATTCGACGAACAAGGGTCTATGATAGAAGCAAATTTACGTATGGTCTACTTATAAACACAAATGGCAATTCATTTCGAATAAAGCACTGTTTTCATTATGTTCCATGCTGTCAATGTCATCGCTATCCATGCACTGTCGATACCCGTTTTGTTGATAAGAAATGACCTAGTACATGTATGTGCCCTCGCCTTAAAACAAGAAGTAGAATTAGCACGTTTTAGCATTTAACATGTTTATTTGTTTGCTGTACAGGTGGTCTGCCCAATTTAGTCCACTACTCGTATACTAATTTGTACTAATAATATAATATAATATAATATGAAAGTCAATCAATGCATTTAGCGATTATAACGGTTTACAAGAAACTGCTCAAATGTCGTGTTTGTCTACCTGTGTCAGCAAGGCAATTAATTTCGCCTTAGGTGATTACTTGTATCTAAAGATCGTAATTATAAATATTCATAGAGAGAAGCGCAGCAGAAATTGAGTAATACGCTTGTCGTCAGCGATGGCAAATCACGCATAAATCATAATTTGAAAGGATACATTGAGCAAGATTAAACGCAATTCATTGTAGTTTATTCAAATTAGGTTTCATTCTATGAATATGTATTGGTGTGGAGGTGTTGTAATTAGCAATCAACCAGATTTTGTTCAACACAAAAAGAAAAAAAAGACAATAAATCAATTAGTATACTGAAATGCAGCCGTCATTTTCATTCTGTCTGACTTCTAGAGAAGAGTGAATGGTTCTATAAAAACATCTGAGGATCCCAGTGGTTATTTGAATAATAATTACACAGTTTGACTGGGTATCTTTTTGAAGGAAGATATTTCGGTATGTAAGCTTATTGTTGAGATCACGTGCTAAATTATGTTCAACTTAATTATCTAAATAGTTAGTTGACACAGGAATGTATGGGATGTTAGTTCATCAGAAACGAATGCATGACTCCAGTTGAAATGAGTGTTTCCGGCATGTATTTATTATTATACATCAATTTCCAGATGTTATATAGAAATCATGTTTTTTTGTATTAAAGTTGGTTCACTTGAAGTCCCTCATTGATACGGAATCGACTTCTTGATTCAGTTATTGATGATAAACACCATAGCTGAAGTTGGCATGGTTGTTGGACCGTGATCGGCAAATGGCCGATTAATTTTTTTAATTTTATCGATTTATCCAAGATTACAATTGTTGACCTAAAAATAGCTTGGTAAAAGCCTCTATTTACCCTGAGTTAGAATTTTTAATTAAATGAAGACATTTATGAAAAAATTTACTTGTTAGTCAATATACCATGAATCAATATTTCTTTTTTATAGGTTATTCAAGACCTTCTGGCACAAGTCAATTTATTTGTTCCTGTATTCATGACACAGGCTTGTATATTAAAATATTGACAAGACAAACTCATTCAAAAGTCTTTAAATATTTTTCAGACAAATATTTACATGTACTGAATGTTCTAGTCCATATTATTATGATCAAAGTGAATAAACATGTTATTCACAGTTTTTCCACAAGTACAGAATATTGTTAAAGTGTCAGAAAGTCAGAAATCACCCTGCTCAGCTATAAGTTTATACAATAGGGCTTTGTTATCTACAATCACATAATAACTTTCCATTTGTTTTCCAAACTCATGTCACTCTAGAATATCAGCTTTGAGATTAACATCAGCTCGTCGCGATATCCAGATATATTGAATTTGAAAATGAGAAAATATATTGGAGATTGTTTATGACAGACCAGCCTCATTGCCGCATTCATTATTCGACAACAAAACACATAGTCTGTTATATTAGTCATTAACATTTATATTTTTGTATATTTAGACCATTCTCCTTTATTGGAACAGTGGCGCAGTGTGCTCGCAGATAAATATAAAACAAATCAAATATTCAACAAGTTTAAGTTTCCCAGTATGATGGTTATAACCATACAAGGAGCTGTTATATAAGTTTCTACTATTTTAATCATTGAATGCGCTCATTACCGATAAAACGGAACGGAGCATACCAAACGCTTTCACGATGAGATGAAGCGCTTCTTACTATGAGCATACATGTATGCGTCATGTCATTGTTTGTAATGTTCTTCAGCCGAACAAGAAAGGGGTACCTGGAAAGCGTATCTCTATTTTTCAATAGGCTTTGTCAGTAGTCGCTAGCTGCAAGATTCATTCATTTGCCATTGTCCACACAAACATCCACTTTGACACACACTAGACAACTTGTATTTTTACTAATTGGTTGGTTGGTTGATTGATTGATTGAATTCTTATCACCAAGTGATTTGCGATAACGCTGATTATGTTCAAGTGCGTCGAGTCAATGGATAACTTTAGGTGACGTACTTCCATATATGATCTCGACGCCTGTAAAAAAACGGATTTTCTAAACGCATCACGAAATAGTTAACACATTTCTCGTATCGCAATTCCACTACACGAAACGTGTCTACGCTTGTTCATCAATTGATTTGACACAAAAGTGATATGACATTTACAATGCAGGAGACGCCTGCTTGACATTTAAAACATACTCGCTATAATACATGAATCAGGTATAGCGTACATTCATCTTCCATAAGGTTGTCCCTGTAATATATGTACTCGACGGTCTTGTTAAATGCACGTACATCACTTGGCGTAAATGCTTTAGGAGACGAGTGATGGATTCTCCCGATGTCGCTGCTAGACATGGCGTATCCTAGTATCCTAGACTATATTTGTAACATACAAATCAATCTGTCATTTACTTGTAATTTTAAATACAATATATTCATTTCCACGTGGAATTTGGTGCAATATGACTCAAATATTAATTATTAACTATTTAATGAATGTAATTGTCAACTGTTATGTATAAATTGATATATTGTAATTAAACGTAATTCACGGATTAGTTTGTATGTTACATATATTCCATGGGGTATACTAGGACACGCTATGTCTAGCAGTGGCACGTATCTAAGACATGTTGATAGGGAAAATGTAATATTATTACGTAGTTCTTTTCAAACGCCGGTATCTATAGCAAAACTCACATAAGTTACGTGATTTTCATTTAGAATCCCACATTTCCTTGTTTCCAGAGAAACGCATGTTTCTTTATACCAGGTGGACAAACTGAGTGAATGAAAGCATACGGTTGTCGTATTAACTAGGTAAAAATACATACGCACCAAAGTCAAGTCAAATATTCCAATACAATAGATTGACTGATTAATTTTATTTATACTGTGATAATGTGAGTTTTAGTTGACCAAAATAATTCAACTTGACCGTGATTACTGATTTTCATCACCACACATAGTCCTGGGTTAAGTGATGCATTGGAGGTTCTCTATTCTATGTCCCTATATTAAAGTAGAACTTCTAACCGTTGCCATGGTTATTGAATACAATTTATTCAATTGCGGATTCGCATTCGGAAACGTGGTTCAGCGAAAAAAATGCTAGTAGTCCATGCAGACATTATTTTATTGTGTCCGTCACGTGTTTTTAGTCACACGCAAATGTCACGCCTGAATTCTTCAAACATTTATCGTGCACGAAATATTGATAAACTAGTTTATGCTACAGTTTGCTACAAATTCATTCACGCGCACAACTTTATTTGAATTTTAACCACCATATTAATTTACATATAATACCATATTACGTAAATATGGGCAGATATGTCGGGTATCGCAGGTTGTAACACTTTAAATCGTTTTTTTTTTCAAGGCACAAATAGCTTTTCCTTTTGTAGCGTGCATCATCCGTGGCTATAAAATTTAATCAGCATTGCAACAATTGTACGGAAACAGCGAGCACGGCAACCTCATTCTTGTCAATATTGTCACGTTCGCGCTTCCACTGTTAGCTTCATTTCTCCCTCAAATGAAGCCATTAAATGATTCTGAAATTTCCGCTTTACTTCAATTCATTTTGCAGCTACAAAGGGTGTAATTATAGCTTATCGTCTGCGTTGTCATAATTGTAAGAAGTGCGACGCGCCATGTTGAAAAGCTATTGGGTTTACGGAATAGCTGTCTGTGAATAACCCATATTCACGTTTCACGCCGACTACGCTGTAGATTATCGTGGATTCGGCACGACATTAAACACTCAGTACATAACATGAGTGATCATAAAGTACAATTCGCAGTAAATGGACCAGTGAAATGATGTCAAAGTACTTTCTCAGACAAGTGTACTTAAATTATTCGAAAGACTTCAAAATCAAATTTAAATTCGATTTTGGAGTATACATCAGATTAAAACTAATTCATAACGTGTTACATTTGATAATTTCAGCAATCATCATGTGTATTCCTTCGAGGTCAATGGACAGTGCAGATCAAGAGAACGTCATGTTAGCTGCTAAAGAACTTGGCATGACAGATGGATTGTATGCATTTTTCTCTATCGACACACTCTCCAGTGCTCCGACGGACGGCGATTATTGGTTCGAAGAAAGAGACGACTCTGATACACTGCGCGAAGCGTACGAGGCGTTGTTTATTTTAACCGTTCAGCCAGTCAGCACCCTGTCCTACAACCTAGTGTTACAGCAGTATTTGGAGCGAATCGATTCATCGCCTTTCAAAGAAACTCTGCAAGGTTACAAGGTGAGCGTGGTATAATTTTACCGCTAGAACAATTCGTACTCATTTTCAGAGATCAGATCATTTTTTCAAAATTAAAGGAAATCACTCAGATAAACATGGCTCCTACCAGGGTGTGACCGGACTCCACACAAAGAAGTTCGCTGATTCTGTTCTAAACTTTTTGGATTTCGACATGCCCATGATGTATCCTTGGAAGGGAAAGATGTAAAATAATAAGGTTATTACGAGGATACCTGAAAGTATGCACTCAGACAGTACGCCGTCGCATCGACCTCCGCTGTGCGTCGATCGATACTTCCGCTGTATTGTCCTTGTGCGTACTTTGAGTTATCTTCGTAATAACCTCATAGTATATGGATTTCAACAAATTACAATGAACATATAACATTATACATGGGGAAAAAGTACATTTACGCACATGCATAGAACAACGTTTACAGTAGTTTACAACAATTAATGTGCAAAAGAATGATATATGGCCATCAAGGTGTTTGCAAAACCATGAGAACAATACATTCTCACCATTCTCGCGGCGGAATTTTGTTTCGGCAATGAGATTGACAGCGCGTTCGGGTAAACTGTTTTTGAAAGTGGCTAGTTTACGCAAAATTCTCACAATCCTTCCCGATATTGAAGAATCCTACCTGTCCGGTCATTGTTCACCTGGTGGGTTCCACGTTATATATTTTTGATATTGCCGTATTTTGGTATTAACGGTTGATTGCGCAACATTTCATAATATAATGTGAAACGAGTTGAATTAACGGATGTTTTGTAGTAAACCAAACACTGACATTGTCCTCTGCCGGAAATTAATTACTTGTCGTGTGTAATTTTATTCCTAGTTGAAACGTGTTGGTCAATAGCCACACATTACCTTAGCCGGTCTAAAGAGGGCGTAACATGTAACTTGAGCAGCAATGCTGATTTACTCAAATAATAACTCGTGTAACATCAATACGTAATATTTATGCACATAACCCCTTTATACTCTAGTACTACACATTACGAAATAGTACTATCGATAGAAGATTTATACCGCGAATATATTTCGTTATCACTATCCAATACTCATTAGTGTAATAGTTGGTACTTTGTAAATGGTTATGCTATATCAATCAATATCATTTATTCCAAGAAAACAAACTTTTTATACAAGTTCAATAATAATAATAATAAT